TACAAAGTTGTCACAAGAACAGCAGTTGACGTATTTTCAGCACAGAGCAGGAACTTGCTAAGGGTGTAACAAAACAGAGGTTCTCCCCGCTACAGATTGAGAATTATTTGAAGCCGGATAATTGGAGCTTGGATCTAATGGATCGTTAGATAGCTTGACAGCGACTAGAAAAGTCTTTAATGCTATGGGCCTCTACCTGTCCTCATGTTAAACATGGATGATCTCTGATCACTACAATCAGGTTGGAAGCAGCTTTAAGGAAGTTAGTTACACAAAACCTCTGTTGTTATCGATACTTTATTTGATTTATAGGGATAATTTTACGATATTATTGCAAGTATAGCCTGTCTATGTGCCTAAAAGGTATGCTACTACATCCTGTCCTGAAAAAAGACACACACATTTAATGCACGCACAGCTGAAGCTGACAAACTCCTGTAGCAAGTCCCTCCATTTCCACCAGTGTCAAGCAGCTTTAGATAAAGCTCAAACAGCTGACTGGGGGCCAGGGGCACAGGTTTCCACAGCATCATCCTGCGAGCTCTCTAACCACTGCTCCCTGGGACCGAACTCGCAGAGCCACGTCCTCTTCTCCTCGCAGCATCAGCCCTCGCTCCATACACCAAGGTCCTCTCTCTTCCTTCAGGTTCCCTGTGATCTTCCTGTTTATACCCTTAAAAAGCAAACTGTGGGTAAGAATGGAGAGCACCTCAGCCTTTAACCGCTCTACGCTTTGCACGGTCAGATCCGTTCCAAGGTGGTTTATAACAGTGTAGCTGCTCTCTCGCCACACGGCTTACGACCCAAAGCACTGCCACCTGACCGCCCTTGCAATCAGAGCTCGCTCTGCTGCCAGTTCCCAGGCTTCATCCACGAGCTGGCGTGGTGAGCCCACTGCCCGGACTGACTGTGCTTGCTCCTGTAGGCATTCATTAGAATAAAATGACAGAGAAAGAGGAGGGTAACTGAAACAGCCTTTCGCTGATTGTCAGCCACCTTCTTTCCAGCATTCTTCAGCCAGGAAGGCAGCTCTATTTTTGCCCTGTACTTCACAGAACATGCATGAGGACAGATGATAATGCCACCAAGGACTAGCTACTAAGATTTATTTTCCAAAATTCATGTTCCTATTCTACTCTGACAGCTTGAGCAAGAGCACACAGAAGACAAGAAGGGAAATTGGTTTGGGGACTCAGGACCTAGAAATGAACCCCAGGCTAGCAATGCCAAGGGCAACTCTTACCCCTTCCTCACTTGCATTGACATGCTATTTTTTAAGCCTAATCACATTTAGAAACTAAGTTGGTTATTTTTTTTAAATAAAGTATTTTACAACATGCAGGGGAAAAAAAAAAGCCTTCTAAGCCTTGCACAGTTGACCTAAGTGACCTCCACCAAACACCCCTCCTGGTGAGGGAGCTGTTAGTTTCAAACTAAAAGGCAGCACTGCCTAAAAGAAAATACCATATACTCAGCAAAGATTATCTCATTTCAGTTTTGATATAAAATAACAACTCTGATTAGGAAAAACAAGTATTTGTTCAATTTCCTGTAGAACTGCAGAGACACACAAGCATTTCACTGTTTGCGTCTAGCTTCACTCAAAGCAATCACGCCTTGGAACGCTCCTGTTAACAGAAGTCTTTACAAATTTTGGAGTAACTCCTCTCTCCCAAAACATTTTAACTGACGCTACTGAGCTCCCAAGGAAAAGCAGGCCTGCACTAGAAACTCATCACCACCTGTCGCGTTTCCACCCCTAAACCCAGAGGCCACCCATATTCAACAGCTCCACCGAGGAGTTTCCTTAACTCAGACAGACCTCCTTCGCAGTTCATTCCGCTGAGCCGACAGAAAACCAGCAGTCACTCTCTCCTGAGGTTTGTCCTCTCAAGACCCAGCGCCAGCTGCAAGCTCCACAACACGGACGCACATCGGGAATTACTCGGGAAGCTACCCGCCGCGCCCAGCCAACGCCGGGCCGGGAGGTGCAAGAGCAGCAGCTGCCGACGTGGGCATCGCCGGCAGCAGGCAGGCCCACGAGATGAGGGGGGTTGCAGTTTATAGCTAAAAGCACTCCGGGCTTTGCCCAAGCCTTGGAAGCCCATCCGCGCGCAGCTCCCCTACTGCCGGCACCGCGGTTATTCACCGTATCCGGGATTTGCATCAAACCCCATTTTTCTCTGCTGTAAACTGTTGTACCTAGAGTATGAGCTACTTCAGAGTGAATGGGACAATGAGGCTGAATAGGATATTTTCAGCCTAACGTAACATAATGCTGTTAAAAAAAAATAATAATCTATTTCTTTGGAGACCCGTTCAGTCTGAAGTGGTATCGCACATTCACTACAGAACCTAGGTAAGGCTTCTGAAGAGACGGATCAACTACACATCAAATCCAAGACTCCTCAAACACCTTTCAGAAACGCTCTTCTGAACAGAAAACAACCTAAACAAAACTCTCTCATACTTGTTCCTCTCCCATCTTACCAGCCAACACCTGAGCAAACGTTGGGTCCTATTCTAACTCTGAATGAATTTAAGAGATAAGAGCACAAAGCTCCCAGGCCTTTTAAAGAAAAAAATAACAATGTCAATACTGATTCCACCTCTACTTGGCTCAGAATAACTAATTTATAACCAGTTTGCTTGAGCTTCTAAACCTCAGGGAACTGGTGTAGACTCCTGGACCACGTTGTACGGGTTCTTGACTTCAAAAAGCAGCTGCTTTTATAACAAAGTACGGCTTATTTACTTAAACAGAGTAACTGTTTCTGTTTGCAGGAAAGAATACATAGAAGTGAAACAGGCTTTTTTTTTTTTTTTTCAATTTTTTTGTCACATTACGAAATTTATTGTGTGTTTATCACATTCAAAAAGCATTGACCAGTGGAGTTGTTTTGGTAGCTGTCAGAATGCCAAGGTAAAGCTGGTATATTTGGAAGCTTAATTAGCACCTAAGCGAGATGACTGCGAACTTGAGGAAAATTGGAACGGCCCTGTATTTGACACTTCAGACTTCCAATAGTTCTGTGGGCACAACAGAAGAATTTAGAAAGGTAAGAAGAAACCAAATGCTTTGTAAAGACCAGAGAGTGTCACGAACATAAAAATTTAACCTCAAGTTAAAAAGGTTTCAAGGGTTTGCTGATTAAATCCTTACCCCCATTTTCATGTCTGTTTAAAATCAGGCTACGCTTACATTTTTACATCCGTCATGATTGCCCACACGGGCACTTAGGGAAAAAACAGGATGAAAACTGCTTTGGGAGGAACGCTGAGAGATTCTCACAAGATACTGCAAGGCTGAAACAGGAGTGGGTTGGAGGAGAGACAGAATTCACATGGTCAGGGTAAGGACCAAAACTAGAAGAAAAAAAAAATAAAATGTAATGACAGTTGCATGAAAATGCCCCAACACTGAGCAAAAGACATGCAAGGAAAGCTGAAGTAGCAGTGGAGAGAGGGTCTGATTAGGCTTTGCTAGATGGAGAAAACTGAAAACATTTCTCCACTGTGTAAGTGACATTATCCACCGTCTTTATTCGGATATATGGAACAAAAATCAAATTAAGGGAGAAATTTGATCAACTTTACAGAAAGCCCTCTATAGAGCTGCTTCTGAAACTGACTTAATCTCAAAATTAAGACTGAAGTACACCAATAGTACTTTACATCAAGCAGCTATCTTGCGTGAAAAAGGACAATTTTCTTTTTAAAAGGGTGTCCTCTAAATATGGCATACATATACAGTGCTCTAACATCCTGGATTTTTTTTTCAAAGCTTTTTGAGAAACACACACAAATAATTCAGATTTAGTCAATTTTATTTACAGTTTGTTTTTTTACATTTCAGAGCATTACACAATTACATATTCTCATTTTCTGACCTGCAAACAGATACCTTAAAACGGAAATTTTTTTTTTTTTTAAAAAAAAAAATGAAGTTCGATACATCCAAATGCAACAATTACACATCTGACAATTCACAAAGTGTAATTTACTAGGACGTATCCTAAGAATTTAGGAACAACCAGTCAGGAGAAAATCTGACCAATTTCAGCGATCAATTATTTACACATTCAAAACAAAGCCTCTCTTAAGCTAAACCTCCAGGCAAAGGGCCTGAAAGCTTTTCTTCAGGCAGAAAGACCAGCAGTTCAATTCACACCTATGCAGCATTAACAGCCCTTGATCCCAAACGCTGAGCAACTTCTCAGCTTTGTCTTAGAGCTACAGGCATCTCTCAGCTTCTCCGACCCTGAAGAACGTGTTCTATTTGTGCCCCCGTGTGCATAGAAAGGCTGAGTGTTTAAGTGGTCACTACGATAAAACCCCATTTAACCTGGTCTTTAAGTTACACCTGTTCTTCTCCCTTAAAAATTTCAACGAGTCTCACAACGCCGTTCGGGCCGGCCGGGTGGACGGGGCACGTCTCCTCCTCACGGTGTCGCAGCACGCCGTGAATCGGCCAGACCGAACACAACAGAGACAATTTAAAAGAAGTTTTAAAGACCATTTAGACAAGGCTTACATTTCTACACTTCCCTGATGGGCCACCTAATCAAAAAAAAAAAAAAAAAAAAAAAAAAAAAAAAAAATCACAGCTACTACTTTCATCCCTTGTTTTAATCCTTTGCCACACAGCAACTAGTTATATACTGGGTAGAAACTACTAAAAAATTCCCTGCAAATAAGCTGCCTTTCAGCTGAGGCTATGGCTCCTATGCATTGGGTGTTTGAGGAGTTGGGTTTGTTTTTTCTCTTTCCAAAAAAATTCTCACTTGAAAAATACTGAAGCTCTCCCTGTCGGCTAGTTCTGATTGCGTGTCCAGTTGGCTTAACTGTCAAGAAACCGCTACAAATGGAACGACTCGAGTAGAAAAAGAGCAGTCAACCGAGTGCAACTTCTGACTTGGCAAGTCCTTCGCAGGAGCTCTCTAACTAGGCTACGAACTCTGTGGAGCCTCCAGATTTCTCGCCTACCTTACTCGCCACGTTCACGTTTCAAACTGCGTCAGCAGGGCCCGAACCTCGGGAGTGAGCTGCTTAGCAGCCTTGGCTGCCTCTGTGACGGCCTTGCGGTACAGACCCTTTCTCTTCTTATTAAAGCGCAACTGGAAGCTTTCTAAGAAGGGGGAGAGCTGTGCAAGAGCAAGGAAAGATGTTGTTGTGGAGCCAAACCACGAGATACGAGCCTCCTGTCGAACTAGAAGGCCGTTATCTTTCCGGCTCACAGTTATAGTGAGGATACGGGCTGGCCACCAAGGGAAGCCATAAATCTTGGCCCAAACAATGTCCCCTACGCATACGGTCCTGCCATCTGGCGTGACACATTTAGAGACGTTTTTGGAAAAGACTTCCGTTTTCAAGGAATTACTGAGCTTTTTCTCTTCCTTTGAGGAGGAGGAGGAGGAGGAAGGTGCATGCATGCTGCCTGGAGGAAAATCAAAGCTTTCGGTAGAGCTACACTCAGAGTTGGTAGATTTCAAATCATCTGTGCTATCGCTACTACAGACTGACGCACTGGAAGAGTCAGATTTCTTTTGATTAAGGGTCATGTAAACCGTTATATTGCTTTTGCTGCCTCTCTTGCCCAGTGTCTGGTGTTCATCCTGATCAACAGTGACATGCACTTCACTCGTGTCCTGAACCTCACTGCTGGCCTCTTCGGGGCCTTCTGAGGGGCTCTGAGTTTCTGAAGGGGCCTCACCTGCTGAGCGGGTGGAGGAGCAGCGAGACTGCGGCTTAGTTGCCATCTTGCCGCTCCGTATTTTCTCAAGTCCTGTCTTGAGAGAAGAGTCATTTTCTTCATTCCGATACCTTTGTGGCTTTAAACGCAATCGGGGTGGGAGGGAACCTGAGCTGGTGTTCTGGAGACGCCGCGTGAAGTGGACCTTTGAATGTGCATTTTTGGAAGAGGAGGTTGCACTCTGCTTCTTTTGTGCCTTTTCTTTGGCCATTTTCAAGACTTCCCGAGCTTTTGCATGATCCATGTTTTTGCTCTGGAGAACTTTTTTTGTATTTAACTGCGCTTTTGAAGTATTTGCTTGTGCGGAAACTTTAACCACTCTGCTTCTGCCGTGGGCAATATTTGAAACCTTGACCACAGCATTCCTTTTCTGGCTTTCGTTTTGGCTTTTTCCATCCACTTTATGGTCAGTCTTAAGTTTTTTATTCACAGTAGTGACACTCTCGTTTCTTCGCTTTTTGTTATCCTCATATTTTGAAGAGTCACTTGCATTGCCACCTTTTTTTATTTCCTTTTTTTCTGCAACGACACTGTTTTTGCACTTGTCGCACAAGACCTGCCGGGGCCGTAGTTTGATAGCATTCATGATGGAAGTGGGTTCCTCCCTGTACATTTTACGCTTGGGCCGCTTAATTTTCCGGGGCGGAGGCTGAGGTATTGACTGGTTATATGTGTCCCTGATAAACAAAGGAGGAGGATATGGTGCTCCCTCATGAAAGAGAGGAGGTGGTTTAGAAGTCCACAGGCTTTTGGCTGTGCTGGGTTCTGATGGCTGCGTGAGCGAGGAGTCGTCAGGGACCGCAGCATTGGATTCACACTTCACCTGTGCCTCGTCTTGGAATGGTTTGCTTTGGAGCTGCATGGCTTCAGGCTTATCCTTGTATTCCCTTTTAGGAAATATGGTCACAGGGATTCCATGGGGTCCAAATCTTAAAGAGAAAAAAAAAAAAAAAAAAAGTTAAAGGTTTTAAGGGATCTTTTCTTGCCTTTACTAAAAAGCATTTGAAAACCTCTCTGCATGACGTAACCACCAGTCGACAGACACGAGTCCAGGGGAAATGAAAGCTTTGTATCTAGCCTTACGGCAGGAAGCAGGACACCAAAACCAGGCCTGCAGAGAACACGAAATACGCAGCTTCACTTACGATCGGCTTCTCTGGCATCACCAAGATGCCCTGGAAATGTTACAAAAAACATCACCTAGCGACAGCAGTAAAAGAATCAACTTTACACGTTCAGAAAATGCTTGAACATACACACTACACACTCACCCCATCAGTGCTAAATTTATCCAGGATTAATTTCCATATGAGAGCCAACTTATGGGAAGAAGACATCTTCAGGGACTTTTACAGAACTCTTCCATTTTTAGCAGAGCACAAAAGGCTGTTTCAGGTTTAGTCGAGGCAAATACAGACTGCAAAAATACTTGTGCTGAACAGAGAGTGCCATCATTTCTCCTAGGCCATTCTATGATTCTATCATTTTTCATCCACAAAAGATTAGCACTTGATTATCTGATGCATCACAGCCTCCAACTTGTTAACCTATTAGCTAGAGTTCCTTCCAGCAAAATTACCCTTATTTCACCACAGAACAGCCATTCCTCCCTGCTGGGTGAGCAAACCTTTGCCTGCTTTTCTCCAGACAGCTCTAGATCTCTGCTGCCCCATCTGACTCGGGACTTGTCACCACCTGATCAGCTCCAAGAACAGGGCGAAAAATCCAGCATGACTTAGGCATTAGCTCACACTCCTGCCAGAACAGAAGGAGCATCCTGCCTAACAAGCACCCAAGGCTTTCCGCAAAGGGTTGTGCTAAGGCAAACCTCTCATGAGTTTGCAAGGCATTATGCCCGCCTTGTCCTGGGAGAAAAAAACCCCAAATGCTAAATGCATTCATTTGACAACAATATCTCTCTTTCAACCCCCAGAGCAGGGCAGGACTGATTATAAAAGCTTGTCTAACCTTCCTTCTGTTCCCCTCCACAACCCCCCAGCCGAGGTCCCAGCCTCACGTGGAGCTCTTGCTGGGCTGCTCTAGAGCTCTGCTGGGCTCCGGCTCCCAAACACACGCTGGTGTTTGGCCTCCAGTAGTTGGTATTTTAATAGCCTGACAACGTGATAGACCAGGTTTCAATTCAAAAGCCAAACCGCCCATTCTGAATCACTAAACAAACACTATCATGTTTATCCCACCCCACCTGACAGGAGAACAAAGTAATTACCCCAGACTCGTCCTCGGGTTAACAGCAGTTCGTGGTGCACTGCAGCTGCTCAGCTGCAACACCCTCGCAACTGACTGAACTGAAGTTTATTTACAATCTATGGCTGTCTCTCAACTGAATATAAAATGCTAAGTACTGGCCTGTTTTCCATTCACACTCCTGTAAGAAACAGGCAGTTTATTCAAGTGCCTACACGCTGGTGCTGCTTCTTCAAAACTGATTTGGATACGTGTGAGAAGATTCTTTACACTGCCCAACACAAGCTGTCACTTGCTTATCCTTCGGCTTACCTGTTAAGCCTCTTTTTACCCTTAAAAGTTGCAGCTGAAGCAAACAACCCAAAACTAAATTATCTGTCCAGTTTGTACTTCACTACAAAAGACCAGAAATGGCAGACAACCTAAGCAAGGGAAACCAAACAATTCCGTCATCATAGAAAAAGAAGGGAAGTTGAACACGTGGCAGTTTCCGGTGCAGTGTCAGCGTGAGCCCTGGTGTTACCCTGCGCCTCAGTGCTGGAACATTCACAGCTTGCACCTCGGGAGGGAGGGGCAGCAGCCCAGGTGGGCAGCTCGAGCAGTTCTGTCCCTGCCCACGGGCTGATGAGTGCTCTCTACCACAGAATACCCCAGCACCCCAAGAAAGACCCCTTCTGAGGTTTGGACGTGCTCCAGCTGAATTTCACGTGTCCCTCCAGACGTGAGCAGCAGAGCTGAACGCAGTCTGCTGCATCAGTGAAGGGTACAGCGAGCTATAAACATTTAGATTGAGGCATCTCCCCAGCCTGCTGTCTGGCAAAACCCAGAGGGACTCACTCAGAAGTCCACCAAGTGTCAAGAAGTTGCTTTTCCACACTTTGCCTTACACTACGGATTACATGTAAGTTGTTTCATTCCAGGTAGGCCTTCGAAAGAAACTATCAGCTGCAAATAACTAAATTAGCAGTATTTTAGCTGTTACTTGCATCAGGAACTTCAAGACAGGGCGAGATGTCTGCTGTGCCAAGTTCGGTCCCAGGCAAATACCCCAAGAGTAGAACCAGACAGCAGCGTGATACTGAATGGGCAAAACCCCTGCAGAAGAAAATCATTGGTAACTCTTTTCCCTGTCTCAGAAATGGCATTTCCTAGTCCTTCACGAGACGCTTCCACAGTCCAGCGCACAGGCCCTTCTTCCAGAAGGCCCGTACTCAGGGAGCTGAGCATCAGTGGCCGTGACCAGGAGAGAGAGGCGTGCAGCGGACTGCAAGGAGCTTCTCCAGAACAATCCTACGTAAGCACCTCAGCTCTCTCATCCTAGATTTCCCTTCTACTGCCTCACAAGCAAAATCAGTGCTCTTAGCACTCCAAATGCATAAAAGAAAGCTGAAAGGAAAGCTCAAGCGTACAACTAACACTAATACTGCACCTTAGACTATCCTTGCCTTCAGCACCTGCACAATGCACAAGCCAAACCGCTGCAGAACGCAGCAGCCGGAGCAGATTTTTTTATCTAAGACACAAAACCAACCTAGACTGAATCGCTGAAGTCAGAATCTGTCTCACAAAAGGCACTGTTTTAACAAACAAACTAAAATCTCCCTCCCCGTCTACCTAAAAATTAACAAATTGTAGAATTAGACAACATTCACAGATATCATCTCCTGCCAGCTATGTAACAGCAAATGAAGACATCATTCCTGTGAATGATGTGTCTGTACATAAAAATGTGACTAGTCAAGACACAGTCCACCTGAAGCACCAGATAAATTCGGTAAGCCCAGAGACAGAATATTCCAACAGCTGAGTGCACGGTGCTTCTCTTTGGCCTCATCCTATAGCAAGTTGAGTCCATAGACACTTAATTTTCAGATGATCTTTATTTCTTCCCTGTTGAATGAACTTCTCCAGGATGATATAAAAATTACGGAGAACAGTGGTAGAAAAAACTTAGGAGTGAAACAGTAAATGAGAGAGAAGAGAACGAAGACAAAGAACAAGGTGAGAACAGAGTGAAGGGAAAACAAAGCACGGCCTATTTTTAAGAGAAGCAGCAGAATGAAGACGTGATGTTAAGAAATCTGTTCAAGACAAGGCACGACACAGCATCTAATTAGCTCAGCGGTGAGCACAAGCATTTATCACTTTTACTAGAATTCCAAGGCCTACTTTCATACATCTAGTTGGTGGACCTGGCAGAAAAGCGCTTCTTGTATAATCACAACAATAATCTGTTATCCTAACCACATGGCTGAAATAGCTTGGATTGCCACGTGCATGTAGGTCATGTGAAAGTATTTGGTTTATCTACTATAGAGATGAAGATGGACTAAAAGGCTTGCGTTTAAAAATGGCTAAAATATCCAAGCAACGTAACTCAGTCGTATCATGACGTTTACTGATCCAGTCAGTAAATGACCAGGCAGTAGAAGATCACCTCTTAAAAGAAATCTCAGTTACCCTGCCTCAGTGAGGCTACACACGTTGCACACTGAAGTACGATAAAGGAATGGCCTTGTCTTTACTCTAACAAACTATATTTTCTTAATATTGACCCCAAGTATCACCTGTCCCTTCTATAACATTAGTCTCCTCCAGAAAAGGCTGTTCTTAGAAAGACAACACTCCAATTACTGTCTGCTTAAAAAAAAATAAAAATCCATGTGTGCCTAAGTTCCAGCTGCGCGTTGTGCAGCCCACTCGTGTGTGACATAATATAGTTCTGCCTCAGACTATCACCTGAAGGAATAGAAGGATTCATTAATACGGGATCTCAGATGGTAAAAAAAAACTTATCTCCAAGAAGTTTTACAAATAACCAGGGCAATCAGTAGGATCTAATCATATTTCTGCTGTACGTATCATGTCAATATATGCAGGCATTGAAGACATAAATAGCAACAAGACTTATTTAAATAAGAGAACTCTGTTTAAAGAAGAGACTAATAATGGGGTAGATGAGATCAATTCTGGCAGTCAGGGGTCTTTACACTGAGAAAAGCTTTCAGCTGACCAGGGTGTGCAGAGGCAGAAATAGGGCAAAACCAGTCAGGTTTTATCTCCGCAGTTTGTCGACTGCAACTTAACCAACAGGTAGTCACAGCACCTTCTGTAATTAGGTAAAAGTTCGTTTGGTTATCAAACCTAGAAGCTTGTCACTTAAAGCCATAGAGATGTGTATTACAGACATGTGAACTTACGTCCTTCAAAGTGAAATTCTTTTTTGAATCTACACTCTACAGCAGAATTACTACAATGAGTACATATTACTATTCAATTTCTATGCAAAACACAGCACAGTTAAAAATTATTTTTTTAAAAAATAAACATTAGATAAGGAAAAAGTCCCATTTAAATTCACAACTACGTATATAAGTGTCTAAACAATACCTCTCAGGGCAATGTGCTTTTATATTACTATGTAAAGTCTTAAGCTCTCATCTTTAGTCTCCAACATCTAACTTCTACTTCTCTAGTAGAAGTAACAAAAATCAAAAAGCAGCTTCTTCTGCCAAGAAGAGCCAGACCCCATCCTCACCACTAAGACTGTAGTAACCCCCAGTTTCCTTTTTGCGCATTGCTCTGCTACTCAGTAGCTTCCTTTATGTTTTGCAAAAGCCAAGGCAAGCAACAAGTGAAGGAACTTTCACTGCATGGACAAAAGTTTAAAGACTCTGAATGCTGGGAGTGTAATAATACGCTGAAATAATGTGGAGCTAGAGTACACGTATTTCATGCATTTTTCTGAATGTTATAATTCAAACCTTCAGTTTAATGTAATACACAATTAGATCCCAGCTATCTGAACACAAAATATTTCAGAACTCCTCAAAATGACCTATATTCAAAACATAGCTTATGCAATAACCTATTTTTCATATACATTTTACTGTGTGTGATGAAGCGCGATATGGAACACACTGCTTTAAGCATATGCAGAAGCCAGGCTATCAACTCCACGGTTTACTCGCCTCCCAAGCAATGTAACACTCGGCTACGTACACTAGAAAATGCATATTTCACATAGAGCTCTAGAAACTTGGCAAAGGATTACAGCATAAGCAACTCTTCGGAAATAACACACCATCGAGAATAGATGTCGCCTCACCATCAAACTCTCAGCACCAAGAAGAATTCGGTTAAAGAAATGATAGCTCAGATCGAGTAATGTGACAATCCACATTAAGCAAATGAGTGGGAAGCTTACATAGTCAAAGACTTTTACTAATCAGTGTTAAGCTTAGCATTTTTCAAGCAGGTACACTTCCCTGAAATCCAAGCTCTCGGTTTCTGGCATGCCTACAGGGCGGAGGAAATAGAGGAGCAGGGCTTGTGCAGAACTGACTTTGAAACAGTATCTCGAGGAAGCTGGTTACAAGTATCCAAGGAAGCTGGTTACAAGTATCCAAGGAAGCTGGTTACAAGTATCCAAGGAAGCTGGTTACAAGTACCCCAGGCAGCAGCTGAC